TCTAACCTGTAGGTTCCCGCCCAACAAGGAGGGATCAGGGAATGCTTAAAAATCCCAAGACCCTTCCATAGACTCCTTGGTGTCTCCCCCGCTTTTGAGAGGCACCCCACCTCCCAGGTTTCTCTCAACAGGTGCTTTTCCCTTCCCTCTTCCTTCCCTGCTCACCTGGTCCCTTTCCGAATAAACTTTTCTATCTGCAACAGATTCCTGGCTTTTATTTCTATACTAAGCTAAGGAAAGAACCCACCAGGCATTTCTGGTAACAATAACCTCAACTCATGCATCTTCAAGCATACTGCCTTTTTTTTTAAGCAAAAAACAAAACAAAACAAAACCCACTATTTAAACCTATCTAGTGATTTTTTTTCTCATTTAATTTATTGTGCTTTTCAACTCCAAATTTTATTTTGTTCCTTTTAACAGTTTCTTTCTCTATTAATATCCTACTTGGTGAAATGGTCTTCACAAAACCTACCTACATTCTCTAGAAAAAATGATTTAGTTCTTCCATTGTATTTACAATAGTTATAAATTCACAAAAGCTATAAAGCTGCCATTCCTGTAAAAAGCAAAAGTTTTTTTTCTAGTGTGTTCAACATCTGGTCTTCCTTAGAGTGTTTTTAATGAAACTTTTCCTATGTCTAAGCCATTCTTCATTCCTTACAATTTCTTAGACATTTCAGATCTGGAAACCAGATCCTCCCCTACTCTACATGTATCGTTCCTGGTGCTGCTTGACTAGCGACTTCCAGCATTCTGTGTCGTATGTGGCTCTGCTGGGGTTAGTGGTCAGCTTATGAGTAAACAGGTTTCCCGCAAAATATTAGAACAAGCATCCCAGACTCTGACAAAGGGCTACCAATGAGTGCTGAGGCATGCTGTATTACCCAGGAAAGTAGTTCACAATTCCCTCTTAGCTTTTCTTTACTTCTTTTGTTTTCCCCCCATGGAGCTGCAAGCTCAGCAGGAGATTAGAGCTTCAGGCATGTTCAGGTCTTTAGCCAGAATATGCTAAGTTCAGAGCAGGCATGTGGCCTCTAGATTTCCAGGAATACAATATCCAGAGCTTTTCAAAGCCCCCTATAAAATCTCATTTTCCAGCTATTCCCTTTTAAGCTTGTTATTTTCTCCAAAACAGTAGCCTATATGCGTCCATTTTGTGCTGCTATATAAATACTTGATACCAGGTAACTTCCATGGGCATGAATCTGCTGGCTCACAGTTCTTGAGAAAAGGAAACAAAGATGCCAGCTTCTGCAGAGGGCATGCTGGCTGCATTGTTACACTGTGGAAAGTGACAGGTGGAGAAAGGGCAAAGAGAGGTTGAGGGAGAGAGGGAGTAAGAGGGAGCTTAACCTCCCTTTTTTACAGCAAACTCTACAGTTATGTCATGAACCCTCATGAATCCATCCACTCCAGCTTCATAGCCTGATCCTCTAACACGAGGACCCACCTCTTAACACTGCTGCATTTGGAAGTAAAGCTTCCAATACATGTTTTTGGCAGAATATATTCAAACCACTGCCTATGATATTAACAATTGCCACCAACCCTTTTGACAAGGATACTCCATGGACTCTGAGTCAAGTCAAATAACGACAAGCTTCAAGCCTAGATTTTCCCAACGGCCTGCCAGACATGCAAATAATAACAGTTATAAGAGAGGTGAGTTTTGGAGAGAATCAAAACCTGGTCCGGTCCCTCCACACAGTGCTAAGACACCAACTTTATCTGACCACTGTGGCTTTCTACGCTACTGGGAGACTGGGAGAAAAGTATGGAACAAGAGTTAGGTAAAACACTGAGGAATTCATTGCTAATACAAGCATTCAACCATTTTTCTTGGATAAGATTCCTTTGATTGTCTTTTGCCTCTGCTTAACAATTAGAGTTCTAAAAATGTTGCTGGTATTTTCACTGATTTTTACAAAGAAAAGTATTTTTAGGGATATTTATTCTATAACTCTGGCCAATGTTCCCTACTAAATCCTTACAGAGTTATTACTTTTTTTTTTAAAGATTTATTATTATTATTTTTTTTTTTATTGGAAAGGCGGATATACAGAGAGGAGAGACAGAGAGGAAGATCTTCCGTCCGATGATTCACTCCCCAAGTGAGCGCAACGGGTCGATACTATGCCGATCCGAAGCCAGGAGCCTCTTCCGGGTCTCCCACGCGGGTGCAGGGTCCCAAAGCTTTGGGCCGTCCTCGACTGCTTTCCCAGGCCACATGCAGGGAGCTGGAAGGGAAGTGGGGCTGCTGGGATTAGAACCGGCGCCCATATGGGATCCCGGGTGTGCAAGGCAAGGACCTTTAACCACTTGCGCCACCGCGCCAGGCCCGAGTTATTACTTTTTTTTAAAGATTTATTTATTTTTATTATAAAGTCAGATACACAGAGAGGAGGAGAGAAAGAGAGGAAGATCTTCCCTCCGATGATTCACTCCCCAAGTGAGCGGTGCTATGCCGATCCGATGCCGGATACCAGGAACTTCTTTCCAGGTATCCCACGTGGGTGCAGGGTCCCAAGGCTTTGGGCTGTCCTTGACTGCTTTCCCAGGCCACAAGCAGGGAGCTGGATGGGAAGTGGAACGGCTGGGATTAGAACCAGCACCCATATGGGATAGCGCATGTACAAGGCGAGGACTTTAGCCGCTAGGCCACACCACCGGGCCCGAGTTATTACTTTTAACATATAGTTGTTTACATGTCTGAAACCCTCTCCCTTCGCTGACAGAAATGATAATTTAGCAGTGAGGCTCCAACAGAAGCTTCTAAGCCAGTCATCACAAAACATGAATATTTAGGAAAATCTTGAGTGATCTAGTGCACAGTTAGAGATGAAGTGAATACATGAGCCTTTTCAATACTTGCCATAGAAATCCATTCTTCCTCCTCCAATACGACAATCCTGGCTGCTAATTACTAATGTCTACCCACTACCCAAACGGCCACTAGTGAGAGGCCAGCTGGCTCCCTCCTTGAATCTGGTGCAAGGGGGGGGTGTTGCTGCTACAGAAGCCCAGGCAAGGACATGATGACAGTTCTGATCCCCATGGTTCGAGCTGTTATTATAACAATCATATTTTGAGGAGTTTACACACCTAGGAAACTAGTTGGAACTGAGAAATTTCTTCCGAAGTCCTATGGGTCCATTTTCCACTACGAAATCAACAGTTCGTCCTTATTACACTACCTCATGTAGCACTCTGTTTTTTTTTTTTTTTTTTTTTTTTCAAAGATTTATTTTTATTATTTTTTTTATTGGAAAGGCGGATATACAGAGAGGAGAGACAGAGAGGAAGGTCTTCCGTCCGATGATTCACTCCCCAAGTGAGCGCAACGGGCCGATACTATGCCGATCCGAAGCCAGGAGCCTCTTCTGGGTCTCCCACGCGGGTGCAGGTTCCCAAAGCTTTGGGCCGTCCTCGACTGCTTTCCCAGGCCACAGGCAGGGAGCTGGAAGGGAAGCGGGGCTGCCGGGATTAGAACCGGCGCCCATATGGGATCCCGGGCGTGCAAGGCGAGGACCTTTAACCACTTGCGCCACCGCGTCGGGCCCCAGCACTCTGTTTTTACACTCTTTGGGAAAGTGCTTACCTTCAGGGGCTTTCGTAAAAAGCCTTCCACAGTTCTGCAGCTAAGGAATCCATCGATCTTTCCAAAAGATTCCAGTTTGCACCGTGCATTCACTCCTCTTCAAGTGTGCAGGAGTTCAGGAACACGACTCCAGGCCTCGCCGAGGATCTGACCGGCTAGTCCGCGAGGATTCTCTAGCTCCCTGCAGTCTCCACATCTATTTCTGTAAACCTCACCGTCCTCACCGCCCTTCATCTTTCCCTCTTTCTTCCATTCACCTGGGAACAAAGCTAACTTTCACAGAACCCACCGGCGCTGGTGCTTTGGAACCCAAGCCCTCATTTGGCATCCTAGCCTCTCGCCTGGTGCTGGGGCTCGGACAGGTGCAGAGCCCTTCCCGGTGCTGGAATGAGCCAGTGTAGCTCACCTGTGTTTTCCTTCACTCGTCCACAGCGCCGTCCGAAGCGCACCAGCATCCCTGACGACGTGCCCATTGCGCTCCCAAACCTGGAAAAGCGACTGATAGCGCCGAGCTGGTCGGACTCCAGCCACCCAGCCAGCAGCCAGCGAGCGGAATGTTTCCCACGCCGTGTGGTTGCTTCGCAACGCCACCGGAAGTGACGCCGCCATCGCCGAGGAACCGGGAACGCGCCGCGGTCAGCCGCGGGTCTGAGGAACTGCGGCTGCGCCTGCGCGGGAAGCAGGGGTCCGGGTGTGCTTGGACCGGCCCTTGCTGGGCAGTTGTGGGGCGCTGTGGGGAACCCAGCTGGAGAACCCCTCGCACAGGGCGGGCGACTGCCGCCGCCGGGCCTCGGCCGTGAGGTGCAGCCTCTCCAGTGAGCACCTCGCCGGGTTGATCCCCGAGTAAATACCGACTCCAGTCCCCGGGGTGGACCCTGCAGGTGTGTGAGCGCTCGAGGCCTAGCCAGGGTGTGTGTGCGCGCAGGTTTCTTCGCAGGTGGAATATAAGGGCAGACCTCCTCCTTCGGCTGGGGAAACCTAGGGGCTGGAAGACAGAGCTTCGTTTTTGAAAGTTCTTGTTCCTGTGATGTGCTCAGGACTAGATGAAGATTTTTTTTAAGTAGTGCTGAAAGTTGGCTATTGTTCCGAGAGTATTCATATTAGAGCCTTTAAATAGTTTCTGTTTCGTGGTGAACAAACCAGTGAATGGAATGTGACGGATGTTTGACACAGAAATACTGATTGTGGACATGCGCTTGGCTTCAAAACATCTTTTTCTAACGTGTTGATGTGCGAATGATTTCCTTCCGGTTTCGTTGGGTCTAACCTGTAGAATTCAGGCACAAGCTGAGGTTTCAAAACAGAGGCAGCGAAGAATTGTATGGAGCTTTCTAATATCAAGTTGTGCTGTTTCTTTCCAGGTTTTCTGTCAGTTGTGCTGCCATAATGCTGGTAAGTATGAAAGGAATCATTAAGTATTTGTAGACAAAAATTTGTGTACATATAATCCTGGTGGGTTTTTCAGAAGCTAATTTATCAAGTGCCAGGAACTAAGAAGGGTCAGAAATGTGCAACCCACGTGGGCATGCATCCTTCTTTACTATGTAAGCATTATCAAAAATAAAATAAATCTATTGTTTAAAAAAAAAAGGTTAAAAGAAATGCACAACCCGTGTGAGCTGACACCTGGGCCTGCCGTGGTTTTATATGGGATGCTGATTTCCCAGGTCATAGGTGATAACAGTAACCAGTGTAGCAGTGGTTTAGCCTCAGCAGTTTTACTTGCAGGACATGCTGGACTACGGAGATGCATGGAGAATCATCTCCCAGTGAAGATTTTATGAGGTTTTAAGTAGCTAGGATATATTTTGAATTTCATAAGATGTGATGCCATTAATTTGCTAGTTTTGACAGGCGGCCAAATACTATTTCAAACTCCAGTCCCCGGCTCTGACCCATGAGTCTTCACACAGGTAACTGGAGATTTGGAGTTACTTGCTTGTTCTATGCCCTTCACTCTCTACCCTTGTAAATTTAAGAAGATGGCGTGTGCATGCTGATTTGCAACATTCAACAATATAGCCATGTGTCAAAATGCCACCTGATACCCCTGGCAGGTTTCTAATAAGAAGAAATAAATAATCAAATACTGTTATTAATTTTAGGAGGTAAGAACTTTCCTTTCCTTTGCTCCACACCGGAAGACCTTGTCCCCTACATACACAATGAGCATATATTTGAAAACAGCTGGTTGGTGTTTAAAACTGAGGATTGTCATGGCTGTTTAAACTCTATGCTGAAGTAAGGTTATTTGCCTTAGAAATACTAATTTGAGGAAGTATCTTTAATAAACACTAATAGAAAAAGATCTGATATTAAAAAAAAATTACTGTGTTAGATCAGCCATGGAACTAAGTTCCATTGCTGTATTTCAAGATCAATAATTTAGGAATTTTAGTGACTTTTTTTGTGCCTAATTCAATCTAGGTTCAAGGTAGCTTTAAATCAGCTTGAGTTACAGTTGAAAAAAAATTTTTTATTATAAATTCAAAAAGCTTAAAAGTGATGTTTAATTGAAAATGTGCTAAAATGCAATGGTCATTTGATCTTCAGTTATACTTTATTGCTGTGATATTGTGCCTATTGGAAAATGATTTCAATTTTATTTTCTGGGATCCAGTTAGACAAAACTGGATTAGACATTTAAAGCTGACAAGGTTGGGAAGTGTCAGAATATCACAATGTTACCCCCTTGAGCTGACTGAATTTAAAGAAACACGTTAATGAGTTAAGAGCTCTTTTCTGTCTCCACTTAGTGCCTGCTGTGCTAAACTGGAAAATACACGGGGTTAAATGCTGTTTCATCTTTAGTTGATCTCCTGTTTTGTTTTGTTTTGTTTTTATGTAGTGAGACGTAGAGAAAGAGAACTCCTTTCTCGGGGTTCACTCCCCAAATGCCCACAGTGGCCCTAGCCAAGAACTCAATCTGGTCTCCCGCCTGGGTGCCAGGAACTAAACTACTTGAGCTATCACCACTGCCTCCCAGGCAGAGGAGGAGAAAGTGAGAGATCCATCTTCCATCTTCTGGCTCACTCCACAAATGGCCACATAGGATGTTGTCATTGCAGGCCGTAGCTTTACTTGTTGTACCATGATGATGGCCCCTTTTCTGTTTTTTTAAGGTTTGTTTATTTGTTTAAATGGTATAGTTACAGAGCAAGAAGAGAAACACAGAGAGAAACGTCTTCCATCCGCTTGTTCATTCTTCGAGTGCCTTTATCAGCTGGGACAGGGCCAGGCTGAAGCCAAGAGCCTGAAGATTCATAGGTGGGTGGCAGAGGCCCAAAAATGGGCTATCTTCCTCTGCTTTCCCAGGCACATTAGAGCAAGCTACCTCAGAAGTAGAGCAGCTGGGGACTGAACCAGCCCTCATATAGGATGTCACTTAGCCGACCATGGCTTAAAGTCCTGAGCTGCAGCACCTGCCCAGTCACTTAATTGTAATATGGGCAACCAGAAACCTATTTCAAGTTAAACTCACTCTCTCTCTTTTTTTGAAGATTTATTTTATTTTTATTGAAAAGTCTTCCATCTGTTGAATCACTGTGCCAGGCCTAAACTCTCTCCCTCTTTTTTTTTAAAGATTTATTTATTTTTTTGGAAAGGCAAATATACAGAGAGGAGGAGAGACAGAGAGGAAGATCTTCCATCTGATGATTCACTCCCCAAGTAACCACAATGACCAGTACTGTGCCAGTCCAAAGCCAGGAGCCAGGAGCTCTTTCTGGGTCTCCCAAGCGGATGCAGGGTCCCAAGGATTTGGGGCCGTCCTCGACTGCTTTCCCAGGCCACAAGCAAGGAGCTGGATGGGAAGTGGGGCTGCCAGGATTAGAACCGGCACCTACGTGGGATTTTGGCGCATTCAAAGCAAGGAATTTAGCTGTTAGGCCATCGTGCCAGGCCGCTAAACTCTCTGTTTAAGAAATTATTCTGAGGCTGTGCGGTAGCCTGGTGGGTAAAGTCCTTGCCTCCCATACACCAGGATCTCATATGACAGCTCCACGTGGATATGATCAACGTATACAGTAAGAATTATTAACTTGTATTTTTCTTAGAAATTTGTAAGAACTCATTAGTTTATTTTTACCTCTGGAGATACCTCAGTAGTTTCAATATGAAAATTCAAAGAATCATCCCCAGAGAAATACAGAGATACTTAGTGTTGTTTTTAGATGTTGTGTCTTCCATTCAGTTAAAGCACTCAAATGTGAACTTTTTATCTTAGGAAAGGGTGCTTACATGGTGGTTTTAACATGCTTGATCACTTATTTATGATCCTTGGCTTAGCAGGTTAACAGTTAATTTATCAAATAAGTGCAATAACTAGATATAGAAATACATGTGCTTTCAGAATAATCTTTATTCTCTTTCAGGCAATCCAGTCTCCTCCTGGAACCATGAAAATCTTGCTGGTTTTTGATTTTGACAATACAATCATAGATGACAATAGTGACACCTGGATTGTGCAGTGTGCCCCAGACAGAAAGCTCCCTGTTGAACTACGAGAGTCATACCAAAAAGGATTTTGGACGGAATTTATGGGCAGAGTCTTTAAATATTTGGGAGATGAAGGTGTAGGGGAAGAGGAAATGAAAAGAGCAGTTACTTCCATACCTTTCACTCCAGGGATGGTAGAACTTTTCTCCTTCATAAGAAAGAATAAGGATAAATTTGATTGTATCATTATTTCAGATTCAAATTCCATCTTCATAGATTGGGTTTTAGAAGCTGCCCGTTTTCACGATGTGTTTGATAGAGTGTTTACAAATCCAGCAGGTTTCGATAACAATGGTTATCTCACTGTGAAAAATTACCATACTCATACTTGCAATAGGTGCCCAAGGAATCTTTGCAAAAATGTCGTATTAGAGGAATTTATAGATAAACAGTTGAAACAGGCAGTGAATTATACCCAAATTGTTTATATAGGTGATGGTGGAAATGATGTTTGTCCAGTATCCTTTTTAAAGAAGAAAGATGTTGCCATGCCACGGAAAGGATACACTTTACAGAAAACTCTTTCCAAAATGTCTGGAAATCTTGAACCTATGGAATCCTCTGTTTTGGTTTGGTCTTCAGGTGTTGAAATCATTTCTCATTTGCAGTGTCTAATAAAGGAGTGTATCCACTAAGATTAGATTCAGCATCATAAAATCTAAAATCTCCAACAGCTAATGACTTAGGGAAGTATTTTTTTTCTCACTGAAAGTAATTCCAGAGGTAAGTATCTTGAGGCCTTTTTCTTGCTCTAACTGCCGTAGCATTTGGCTTCCAACTTAAAATCCAAGGTTTCTGTTCAAGCTACAGCCCTCACAAAGACATTCTTGCCAGCAAGAAGCACAGTGAGAAGGTCCCAGCTCCTTGTTTTAGGACATTTCCTGGAAGGGGAAACCAATGCTGCTGCTTAAATGCCATTGGCTAATACTTGGTCATAAGGCCCCAGCTACCTGCAAGGAAGCAAGGGATAGAGAGCTCTCATTCAACTGGTTACATGCCCAGGAAAAATTGGGAAGAATACAGACTAAGGTAGGTGCATGCCATTAGTGGTCTCTGCTAAAGGTGCTTGATAGATTATATTTTGTTCACTTATGCCTGGAAAGAGTAGTCATACTATACTTTGTCAGATATTTATTTTCAAAAATGTGTCCAGTGGTTAAACATCTTAACTATTTTAAAATAAGCCTGATGTTTTATTCACATAAGAGAAAAAGGCTTCCAAATGTGTGTAGTGTCCTCCTAAAGATATAGGGATACAATATGTATTGTTCAAAGCTATCTATTTCTTTCTAACATGGATTACATATTAGAGTTCTTCAAATATTTTATAACATAATAGGCAGTAACTACAGTGCTGGTTTAATCAGCTGTCTTTGGCATTGCAATCTTGAGCGATGTTATAAATAAGTTGTAGAAATACTAACATTTTAGAAACCTTCATAGTAGAAATGTTGGCAAAATACAAGTTACCTGAAAAACAGTAGTCTGTTTTTTAAAATAAGATTTATTTATTTGAAAGACAAAGAAAATCTGCTATTTTATACCCCAAGATCCAGTCCTGACTCAGGAGCCCAGAACTCCATCCAGGTCTCCCATGAAAATTTTAACAAAGTGTTGAAAATCACATGAAAACCAAAGTGGAAACACAACTGAAAGTGACCTTGGCAGAAATAGCATTTTTAGTGGATAAACAGAAAAACACAGATAGCTGAGGAAAAATTAGCCAGTGAGCACAAATTAGAATATCCAAAGAGTAACAAAATAATGGAAGTACAGAAGATGAAATAATAACATCTAATTTGATAACTTGGTATTCCGGGAGAGAAAAACAGTAATGAAGGAAAAGCAGTAATTAAAGAGACAATGAGGGGCCAGCCCCATGTAGCAGATACAGCTACAGCCTGCAATGCCAGCCTCTCATATGGGCATTGGTTCATGTCTTGGCTGCTCTGCTTTTCATCCAGCTCCCTGGTAATGGCCTGGAGCAGCAGAAGATAGGCCAAGCACACTGGGTCCCTGTCACCCATGTGGGCAACATGGATAAAGCTCCTGGTGCTTGGTTTTGCCCTGACCCAGTCCTGGCCACTGCGACCATCCATCTGGGGAGTGAACTGAAGGATGGAAGATGACACACTCTCTTTATCCTTCTCTCTCTAACTTCAATTTCTAAATAAATCTTTTTGAAAGATATTACAAAAAGAAATTCTGGCAACTGTATATCCTTAACATTAGCCTATAAAATCCCTAGGAACCTGAAGAGGACAAATAAAGAAAAACCTCTTGAAATTATTTACTGTGAAACTTCTGCTAAACAAAGGTAGAAAGAAGTATAAAGCCCGTTGGCACTGTGGGTGTTCTCCGGGACTAGCAGAAAGCCCAGAAGTCTCAGTACATCATGTTCCGTGGCAATGGCAAGAGCATGACAAACACTGTCAGCAAGTGAAGCTGGCCTCCCTTCAAGTGCCCTTCCAGATAGGAATACAGATAAAATTCCCTCATTTTTTAAAAAAAGAACCAAGTTAGTAGCATATTTTTCTTAAATGCTTAAGCAGTTTCAATAGTGAACACATTCCAATCGAGGTTTCTTTACTGAAAGGCTAGCACTCATTCCACTGTTTAAGTAGACACAGCACTATTCAGGTTGTATATTTTTTCTTTGCTAGACATCAGTAGTTTGCGACTATCATCTATTGCTGCATAATAAATTATCTTAAAATATAATAGCCTATTATAATATAAACAGGATAGCATCTATGGGTTAAAAATTCTGGAATTTTCTTTTTCTTTTTTTTTTTTAAGATTTATTTATTTTTATGGCAAAGCCAGATTTACAGAGAGGAGGAGAGACTGAGAGGAAGATCTTCCATCTGATGATTCACTCCCCAAGTGACCACAACAGCCAGAGCTGAGCCGAAGCCAGGAGCCAGGAGCTTCTTCCATGCCTCTCACATGGGTGCAGGGTCCCAAGGCTTTGGGCCATCCTCAACTGCTTTCCCAGGCCACAAGCAGGAAGCTGAATGGGAAGCGGGACCACGGGGATTAGAACCAGCACCCATATGGGGTCCCAGCGCGTTCAAGGTGAGGACATTAATTGCTAGGCCATGCCACCGGGCCCAAATTCTGTCATTTTCAGCAGGGTGGTTCTGGCTCAAGATCCAAACCAGGTGAAGGTGTCAGTTGAGGTGCAGTTATATGAAAGCTTGCCTGGAGTGGAAATGTCTGCTTTAGGATACCTCTCATACATCCTTTGAAGGAAACCTCAGATCTTCACTATCACCATGAAGGCTCAATTCATAGCTGACTAATGGTGAGATATTTGTTTTCTAATTGCATTGGCTTCTCCATAAAGCTTGAGCTCGCTGAAAAGCATGGTAGCTGAGTGATCGAAGAGAAAAGGCTAGGAGAACACTAAAAATGCCTTCTGTGGCCTATCAGAAGTCAAATAGCAACATTTCTGACATACTCTTTGTTAAAATTGTACACTAAATCTTACATTTTAAAAGGAAAATAATTCAAAAAATGTATAGATGGTCTTTAAAACCACCAGTGCCTCTAAACTTCATTCCTTTCATCTAAGTTGTATAATTTATGGGCATATAGTTTTAGTGATATTCCTTCTTAAGTTTTTAATTTTACAATGAATGCTTATTTACTCACTATGAGGATTCTGCCTTTAATATCTTATTCTTATCAGTCTTCATCCAGTCTTTCTGCCATACCTGGGACACACAAAAGCCATGGCTAGCGGACCTGCTTAGCAAGACTAAATCACAGAACCCACCAGTGAGTGTCAGGGCAGCGTGTGGACCATGTTAGGTTAGGACATGAGAGAGCTGGGTCTGGGGCCAGATTCTGTGGGGAATCCTGGGCTCGTCCATGTGGGAAGGGCAAAGGGTAATGATGGGCTGAGCTAGGCATGACTGTGCAACTCACCAACATGCATAGATACAGGGATTGGGAACAGGGCAGGCTGGTTCAGGCTGCAGTACCGGCAGTTGCACCCAAGAACTGGATATGGGGTGGACCAGGCTGCAACATCTACCAGTACACACAAAGACTGAGATTTGGGGCACAAATGGTGCTGGGTAAGGGCCTGGCACCTGCTGACAGAAATGAAATCTGGGTCTGGGAGTGGGCCTGGTGGGAGAACTTGGGGAACTTCCCAGTGGGCCATAGCTGCCACTGTTGAGCACATGAGTCAGGGCTGGGTGGTGATCAGGCTGGGCAGAGCTGCTTCACTTTTTGCCAGGTGTATAGGTTGACTCAGGGGGTGGACTGGGCAGGACCAGGCAAAACCATAGCACACTGGCATGCACAGGAGCCAGGATGGGGTATATGGGCCATGCTAGGGTATCACTGCTACCTGTATGTATAAATGCTAAAAACGGTCAGGCTCTGCAGGGTTAGGCTGTCGCATCCACCAGTGAAAGTTAGGACTATGGGCATGCCAGGCTGCAGCATCTAATGATGAAGGCCAAACTGAATAATAGGTTATGCTGGGCTGTGTCAGAGCAGCCACCAACACGCTCAAGATCTGTGTCTTGGAGTGAGTCTGGTTGGAGAGCTAAAGGGATGCTTTGGCTAGGTTGTGGTTCCCACTGGTGAGTGCAAGAGCCAAAATGGGGTGAGGGCTAATGGGAGCTGCTCCAACTAGGCTGAAGTTCTCACTGGTGTATGTAAGGGCTGAGTATGTGGTGAGCAAGATTAGGCTGGGCCGCAGCATCCATTGTTTTGCATATGAGATGAGGCTGGGAACAGAACTGACCAGGTGACTACAACCACCAGTGTGTGGACTTAACCAGACCCAGCTAGCACAAACAGGAGTCAGATTGGGCTCACCTCCGGCAAGGTTTCTTTGGGGATCCCTACGTCCCAGCTCGATCACTGGACTCAGAACTCAAACCACAGGGAAAATCATGGGATGTGTGGCCTAACTATAGAGTGCATGTTTCAGAACTGGATCTCCACAATTCCTGAGAACTTTGCAGTGGATGGCATGCCCAGATGTTTATGGGGATATGACAATCAGTTCATTGAGGCCCACGAAGATATCTGGTGTCATGGAGAGTTGAAAAAATTGGACAGCTCTCCTATTCAAGTTTTGACAGTATTTGGCAAATCAAAACTCTAGGTGAGAGCCTGGTATGGTAGCCTAGAGGCTAAAGTTCTCACCTTGCATGTCCCAGGATCCCATATGGGCAATGGTTCTAATCCCAGGAGCCTTGCTTCCCTTCCAGCTCCCTGCTTGTGGCCTGGGAAAGCAGTCAATGACAGCCCAAGGCCTTGGGACCCTGAAGAAAAATATAAAATAACTCTAGGTGGACTATGTTAGTCAATGGACCTTGGAAGAAATTCCTCAACCTTGGAGCAATGTAATCAATGACATCTCAGGACTATCAAAATCACTTTAACAATATCCTTAAAACAGGCTCCACACTGGGGACTCTGGGATGACATCAGGTGGCTGTCCCCCATTCTTTGGAATTATTGCTGTTTGGCTGCTAAGAGCGGCCCTCTCCCCTTACCCTCTTCATTGTCTGCATAAAGAGGAAGAAAAAAAGGAGATAGAAGGTAGTTGTCTCATCCACTTTTCCCCATTCCTTGACCTCCTCACCCTAATTGGTGATTTAGATGGGCATGCATCCTTCTTAACTATGTATACATCACCAAAAATAAAATGATTTTATTATTTTTGGGCCCAGTGTGGCAGCCTAATGGCTAAAGTCCTCACCTTGCATGCGCAAAACCCCATGTGGGTGCCGGTTCTAATTCCGGCAGCCCTGCTTCCCATCCAGCTTTCGGCTTGTGGCCTGGGAAAACAGTCAAGGATGGCCCAAAGCCTTGGGATCCTGCACCTGCATGGGAGACCTGGAAAAAGCTCCTGGCTCCTGGCTTTGGGTCAGCTCAGCTCCATTGCGGTCACATGGGGAGTGAATCAGTGGACGGAAAATCTTCCTCTCTGTTTCTCCTCCTCTCTGTATATCTGACTTTCCAATAAAACAAATAAACAAACAAAAATCTTAAAAGAAAAAGAATTATAAAACTCTTGAAAAAAAAAGTAAAAATAAATATTTTTAAATGAATTTATTATTTTAAAAAAATGTGAGTTGAGCAGACTGTCAGGGTTCCATAATAAATCTGAATAGAGAAATCTGTACAGCATAGGAGTTACCCAAGGATAGTTATAGGCGACCCACCCTTGCCTACATGTACATGCCCTGCATAATCCTTCATACTGTGAATTTGATCTGTGTTATGGTACAGTGGACCTAAAAATAGAGGGGTTATTCAGTGGAGCCTGACC